ACTAAGTGTTGAACCATAAAATAATATGGGAGAATATTTAAATATGGCCACATAAATTTGATTACAAATCAAGTCACTTTTACAAAGAAGTAATTGCAACCTAATGGTTTCGTAAAGTACCTTTAAAGTCATGGTTTCTTGTCTCTTCTTTCATTCTTACCCAACATAACTCACTTTTTGCCTATATCAATTTTATATCTTTATGCTATATGCACAGGTGAAATAAATTTGTCTTTCCTTCTGACATTTGATTCATGTAATTACCTAGAACCTATCCTTCCATTTTTTTTTTTTGTAGCACTGCTATTTATTCAGCCACTGATTAGCTGATTGAATTGGGCATGAACTCCACCTTACTTTTTTTTTTCATTTTTTATAATTTTATTTATTGAATCACCGTGAGAGCAGTTACAAAGCTTTTGGGTCTAAGTCTCGGTCATGCAATGAAACACCCGTACCTTCACCAGTGCCCATTCTCCACCACCAAAAACCCCAGTATACCCCCATCCCACACCCTCCCCCTACCTGTGGGGCAGATGATTTCCACATTACGCTCTTTCTCTACTTTGATCACATTCAATATTTCAACACCAGACCCACCATTATCATTTGAGATTTTACCCCAACACTCAGATCTGCTGAAAAGGCAACAATAGACAATTTGTGTTCTATTGCTGATTATGAATAACATATGATGTCGTGTGGCTTGCAGTAGGGCCATGTGGTTTTGAAATTCCGAAATTTTAACACTTAAATCTGGAGGGATTTCTGCCAAAAGCCACTGGGTTTCGAGATCTGCTCCTGAGTCTCTGGGATCATGGCCATTGAGCAGCTTGATGAGGAGCCAGAGAGGCCGTTCATGGGCGATGACTTGGCGTCTCGTTGGGGTGGGGAGGACAGGCCCGGCTCCACCCCATCCAGTGAGGCCCAACAAGTTTCGTCACTGCGGGCCCAAGCCTGACTGTCCAGTGGCCTCTGGAGGATGATGGCCACCGAGCCTCCAGAAGGAAACAGGCGGAGGGACAGCACCCTTTCCCTGCTGGGGTGGCCTGGCGACAGTAACCTACTGCAGAGTCTGGACACATTTCTGCCAAAAGCCACTGGGTTTTGAGATTTGTTTCTGAGTCTTTGGGATCAAGGCCGTTGAGCAGCTTGATGAGGAGCCAGAGAGGCCGTTTGTGGGCTATGACTTGGGGTCTCATTGGGGTGGGGAGGACAGGCCCGGCTCCCCCCCTCCCCCAACCTGTGAGGCTCAACAAGTTTCGTCACTGTGGGCCCAAGTCTGACTGTCCAGTGGCCTCTGGAGGATGACGGCCACCAAGCCACCAAGAAGGAGCAGGCGGAGGGACAACACCCTTTCCTCTCTGGGGTGGCCCGGCAATAGTAACGTATCTGGGGTCTGGATGCATTTCTGCCAAAAGCCACTGGGTTTTGAGATTTGTTTCTGAGTCTTTGGGATCATGGCCGTTAAGCAGCTTGATCAGGAGCCAGAGAGGCCGTTCGTGGGTGATGACTTGGGGTCTCGTTGGGGTGGGGAGGACAAGCCCGGCTCCACCCCGTCCCGTGAGGCCCTGTGTGTCTCGTCACTGGGGGCCCAAATGTGACTATCCAGTGGCCTCAGAAGGATGGTGGCCACTGGGCCGCCAGGGGGAACAGGCCAAGGCACGAAACCTATTTCCACCTGGGGTGGCCCAGCACCAGTAGCCTACTGCAGAGACCGGACGCATTTCTACCTAAAGCTGCTGGGTTCTGAGATTCGTTCCTGAGTCTCTGGGATCATGACCATTAAGCAGTTCAATCAGGAACCAAAGAGGCCTTGCCTCCAATTATATAGCTGAGCTGGAGGTGGTTTGTGGGTGTGTTTCCCACATACCTAACTTTTGGCCGTTTACTTTCTTGGTAAACTTTACCCCAAGTTTTTGGGGTCTGACCAAAGGCACAGCAGCAATTTTGGGGTATCTGGAAGTCTGAAGGCGCCATGAGGCTGCTGATGCACTCGCCTCACAGGTGACCTGCTGGCGGCACCATACCCCCGAATCTGATGTATTTCTGCCAGCACTTGCCCGAGCTGTATTTCTCAGACTGAAGGTCAGAAAAAGTTTTAAGAAGCCCTGCTCCAACCCATTGTGCCAATTCGTCTGATAGGTGTTTCTTTGGGTTGAGTAATAGAGTAGTTGTATGTTACCTTTGGTAAAAGTGGCATATAAGTACCTCAGTGCTAAAATTCTTGTCGAACTTACTAATTCATTTTTAGCACATTTTATTGATGACTTGGTAGTGAGTTTTTATTGTTGTTGTTATGCTCTATGATTGTTTTATTTATCTTGGATGTGAGCCCTTTATCTGAGGTGATGAAGCATGCAGGTATTTTCTCCTGTGTGATTGCGTGTCTTTTTAATTTTAGTTTGAATTTATTTTGCCATATTAAAAACTTTTATAATTTGATGTAGTGTAATTTTAAAAACTCTTTGTCAATGGGGTTTAGTCATATAACACTAAAAGCTTAGCATTTCCATTGTAAGGATTTGTGTCTATGAATTGCACAACTTGTGACTGAAGATTTAAAAAAGACAGTTGTTAATGAGGGTGTGTAAACACAGTGTCTGTACCACTAGGTGGCATGTGGTTGAACAGTTTAATAGCCACCCCCACACACATATACATACATGCATATATATGTGTGTGTGTGTATATATATATATATAATGCCTTCCGTTAAGGTATTTTAATCCAGAGGCATAGACAGCATTATTTTTTCTTTCCTATAGATCAGTCAGGTTTTCTTCCTAAGTATCTGTTGATTCTATCCTCAGACATTTCCTTTCTGATTGGAGTCCTTAAATCCAATTATGATCTAATGTTAAGTATAGTTTTGTCATTTTACTATTTATTGCTTTGTGTCTTTTAGTTTTTGCTTTGCTTCAGTTCACACACTTCCTTTTTTTTTTTTTGTTTAATTAAGTAGATGTTTTCTAGTGCATGGTAATTTCTTTCCTTTTTTATTTTTTTGGTCCCACCCGGCGATGCCCAGGGCTTACTCCTGACTCTGCACTCAGGAATTACTCCTGGCAGTGCTCGGGGGACCATATGGGATGCTGAGAATTGAACCCAGCTTGGCTGTGTTATAACACTATGTTATAACATGCTGTGCTATTGCTCCAGTCCTTAGTGCACTATAATTTCCTCACTGGAGTCTTCCAATGAAGATCATTTAGGGGGTTGCCTCCCCAACAGTAATATGAGCCCTGGAGCCACTCCAAGTATTAGTTCTGCAGCAATGCTAGTGGGCTTTTGGGCCGTTCCTGAACATGATCAGGGGACATACTTTGATGGGGGCTGAACTCAGGTCCTCAAGCCCCAACCCTGTGAGCTGTTTCCCTTGCTCTCTTTGTTGAGTATTGTCCAGGATTTTTTGAGATATTTTGGCAGGGGTGGGGGTATTCTTAAGTTGAAACTGAGGAAAGGTACATGTTGATTTTCATTGATTCACATCCATAGTTTATATAAGACCACAATGCAGTGTTATTTTATTTTTCTTTTACTTATTTATTTGGGCCGTAGCGATAGCACAGCGAGTAGGGCGTTTGGCTTGCACGCTGCCGACCAGGATTCAATTCCTCCACCCCTCTCAGAGAGCCTGGCAAGCTCTGGAGAGTATCCTGCCCGGATGGCAAAGCCTGGCAAGGTCCCCGAGGTGTATTCATATTCGAAAAATAGTAACAATGAATCTCACAATGGAGACCTTACTCCTGCCTGCTCGAGGAAATTGATGAACAATGGGAGGACAGTGCTGCAGTGCTACTTATTTTTTTTTTATTATTTTTTTTTTTTTTTAGTTTTTTGGGCCATACCTAGTGATGTTCAGGAGTCACTTCTGGTTCTGCACTCAGGAATCACTCCTGCCTGTGCCGAGGGCACCATACGGTATACCAGGGAGCAAACCCAATTGGCCACATGCAAGGCAAGAGCCATACATGCTGTACTATGGCTCCAACCCTGCAATGTTACTTTAGTTACATAATAATTAAAATAATAAAATTGCCCTGAGAGTTCTTGAGATTTTCTTTTTTGAGATTTTCTTAGTATGTATTGTATGTATTAAAATTTCTTTTAATAAAGATGAACTTCTAGTTTAATGAACTTCTAATTTAATTCCAGTAAAAATAAACACTTTGCTACATTATTTCTTCCTTGCTTTGTTTTGCTATTATCATCTTATGTTTTTGTATGTTAGAAAACCATCCGTACTGTGCTTGGAGCAGTTCTTTCTCAGAGAAACTAAGGGAGTAACTCAGAAAAAATGAGTAGAGTTTTTCTATTAGCCTATATGTTTAACATTCCTGAGTTCTTTTGTTTCAAGGATGTTTCTTCTTACGTTGCCTAATTTCCACATGTTTATACCTTTTATATTGTAAGGCAAATAATACAACTTTTTGTTTGTTTGGGGACCACATCCAGCAGTGCTTAGGACTTACTCCTGGCTCTGTTCTCAGGGATCACTCTTGGTGGTGCTGGAGATGCAACCTAGGTTGACTGCATACAGAGCAAATATGCTTACCCACTGTATTATCGCTCTGGACCTGAAATAATATAGTTTTAAAATGTTTTGGAACCCACTGTGGCCACCAGAACCTTGGTTCTGGGGGATGAGGGAAAGTGCAGAAGTGGGGATCAAATCTGCGGCCTCACATGTTAGCCCTGGCTCAAGTCACTTGAGTTCTATCCGAGCTCCCAAGTCTTTTTCCTTAAAGTTGCTGTTTCTTCCTGTTAATCAGCAATCTGTGGGGATTGATACACTCTCATTCTTTTTCTCCAAGAAATGTGGACTTTGTGGCTTTTATATCTTTCATTGCCATTGTAGTTGCAAAAGGTGGGTTATTAAAATTTTGAAAAGTTTCTAGGACTTTTAGTGTTTTTGAGACCTTTTAAAAACGGTAATAATTTTAAAATATTTGACTGTTCACCTGCTTATGTCATGGGTTTATTTATATAATTTCTAGGTTCATGTACTGGACAGACTGGGGAGAAGTGCCAAAGATAGAACGTGCTGGAATGGATGGTTCAAGTCGCTACATTATAATAAACACTGAAATTTACTGGCCAAATGGATTGACTTTGGATTATGAGGAACGGAAACTTTATTGGGCAGATGCAAAACTTAATTTCATCCACAAATCAAATTTGGATGGAACAAATCGGTAAGATCAATTTATAAACATATTAATTGTGGAGTAAAGGTTGGAACTTCATGACCTCACACATGCAAGGCAAGTATTCTACTGCTGAGCTACATTCTCAACCTAATAAATATATTTCTAAACTTAAAGTAAACTCCATGATGTCTTGATAGAGTAATACTGTTAAGTCTGATTTTAGTAAGAAAACCAGTGTTTGAGGCTACACGTTGAAGAATAGTAGACTTATACTTTGTTCCTTTTTTAAAAAAAGGTGTAATGTCTTTTCTTCATTGATCTTTGCTTGGACTAAATGTCAAAGAGTAAGTAAGAATAATTGACTTAGAGTTTATTCTTTAAACAGAATAAACTGGCATAATGCCTTTTCTTCATTGATTTTAATTGCAGTTGGAATTAATGGATTGTGTTTTCTCCTCTACTACTCTGAGCTGCTTTAATTCTTCAGTGCTACTCAACCAGGGATTGTACTACATTCTCTGCCAGGGTATTTGGAAACATCTGGGGATTTTGCTTAACATGTGGATGGGATAGCTATTGTCATCATAGTTTCCGAGTGGCCAGGGAGTTTCAGCTTCTGCCACATCTTAACATCCAGGACAACAAAGATCCATCCTGCCCAGAATCGCTCAGTGCTCCCTGGTACTGTTTGTGGAGCATGTTTGATAATTGTCTAGGCCCAGGCAGGAGTCAGCCTGGTTTTACTAGAAAGGACTAGAAGTAAATATTTTAGAGATTGTAGGCCATTATATTTTCTGTTGGAACTACTTACTTAGCTTGGCTGTTGTGAAAGTAGCTATAAAGAATAAGGGCACAGGAATGAGTATTGTGATAAAAACTTAATTTGCAAAACCGAGAGCCAGTGGGCTAAAGTTCGCTGACCCCTGGACAAGGAGAAAGCCTGGTGTGCATGTGTGATGTGTCCCAAATTTCACTGACAATAAAGGTACAGAATATTAAAATGGAATGCTACTTAGATCATTATCAAAATTTCAGAGATGTTTTATGTTCACACTCTTGTTTTTCAGTGATTTTGGTTTCCTGGTGGTCTTATTCTAAGATCCCAACAAAAACAGGATGTTAAATATTTGAAGGGGTTTTTCAAGGTATAAACATTTGTAAGATATCTGAACTGTGAATAAGAAAGAATTTATTTTGAGGAAGGGGGTGTTGGGTCACACCTGGCTGTGCTCAGGGATTACCTGTGACTGTGCTCAGAAATCCCTCCTGCTGGTGCTCAGGACCATATGCAGTGCTGGGGATCGAGATGGTGCTGGTTCCCTACACGACAAGCACCTTCACCCTCTGTACTATCTCTCCAGCCCAAGGAAGCATTGAGAAGTACTAAAAACCAGGAAAGATTTAAAGAATTTTCTTAAACGTTGTAATCGTGGAGTTGAAACTTTTTGGCCTTATTTTTAAACATGAATGAAATGACTTACATCGAGATGGTTTAAAAACAACCAGAATAGGTATCAAAAGAATCAGTGCATGGTGAATATGTAAATACTAGTTTCTGTATTGGAACTTTACATTTGCTTTGAGGAGGGATGTTAGGATATGACTATTGATTTTGTAAAAGTGTTTTTGGACTCATACCCACACAAGCAGGTAAAAGTAGATAGCAGATTCAAGAGCATACCGTGAAATTTTCCCCAGGCATTCGGAAATGAAAGCAGATACAGGCCGACCATTAGCAACCACCTGACCTCCGTTAGTATTACTGTCTGTGTTGGCGTAAGCAGAGTCTGGATGGGATGGTTTGTTGAACTTAGAAACAGGAAGTGCCAGATAGCCTCCATTATTGACCTGCAAGAGGATGTGGCGGACTATATTAAGAGAGCCTCTGAAATGAGAGAGGGCAGAAAGCTTGCCACTCTAATATGAGGCAAGTAAAGCATATCCATGGAGACTGCGTCCAGGTTGTTCCCTTTTCTCTTTTTTCCCCCTTTGTCTTTATCTTTTTCTTTCCCCTTTGCTCTATCTTTGCCTTTTCCATTTTCCCTCTTTCCTTTTTCTTTTCCCTTTATTTGGAACCCAGAGCCTCACAATACGCTACCACTGAACCATATCCTAGTAATGTGAGGTTTTTGCTTTGTTTTGGGGCCACATCTGGCTGTGTTCAAAGGTTACTCCTGTCTGTACATTCAGGAACTACTCCTGGTGGTGCTTTGAGGGCCATATAGGATGCTGGCTTGGCTGCATGCAAAGTGCAAAGCAAAGCACCTTACCTGCTGTACTGTATCTCCAGCCCCCCTAGTAATATTTTAAGTGAACCTTCTGCAATTTTCTACCAATTTCACACTGAGTAGGAACAAAATTGAATAATTTAGTAGCAAAATTAAGTACAGAAAATTGCGAGGAACAAAGGTGAAGAAAAGAGAGGGTTCAAATAAAGGTGGGGAGAGGAAAAATGATCCTCAGGGCTTGCCTTTTGCTTGAACTTTTGGTTCAGGAGACCAGGCCTGAAATGCTGATGTGGCAGAAGCTGAAACTCCCTGGCCACTAGGAAACTATGATGACAATAGCTATCCCATCCACATGTTAACCTGGGACTGGACCCAGGTTGGCCGTGTGCAAGGCAAGTGCTCTACCCAGTGTAGTATCTCTCCAGCCTTGTAATTCCCCCAAAGCTGGGAGATTTTAGAAAACAAAATAACTCTATTTTTAAGCTTCACATGCAAACATTAGGAGGTTGTAAATTAATACATAAAGTTGGAGAAAAGTACCTTCACATAAAATTGTAAGGACGTACAATCTGAACATGAAAACATGAGGAACATAAAATTATCAAAGTAAAATTCAGTTAAGAACATTCACTGGTATTTCAGGTGGATAATATTTAGCTTTATATACATACTTAAGTTCTAATTTTTTACCTCCCAGCACGTTAATGTAATTAAAATTATTTTAAAAACTGTGTGTGTGTTCACACACCATCCCCAGCACTGCTTGGGTGACTAGGATTACACTTTGTGGTGTTGGGGGTGCTCTGTGGTGTTGGGGATTGAAACCACAGCCTCACAAGCAAGGTGTGTGTTCTTCCACTTGAGCAGTATCTCCCAGTTGACAGGCCCTGGAACTTTTAAGCATGTATTTCAAAATTAACTAATTTCAGTTATTACATTACAACGTACTACTAACTTAATCATATATGTGTCCTTTCCACTTATTTAAGATTGTTTTGTTCATACTAATTAATTACCATCTTTTTATTTCATTTTAAAAAGTCTCATTGCTCTTTCTTTGAATACTTGTTTAGTGACATTACAATCAGAGCTTTTGCTTATCAGAAAATTACTGGACTGAAGGATCGCTTTGCTGCTTTGTGTATCCTTAGTTAGTAAGGTTCCCCCAGGACTTTGAATATATGACTTCATCCTCTTTTGGCCTCCCTGAAAAATCTTGAAGGAAGGTGCTTTACCAGCAAGACATATCCCCAGCCTTCTTTTTACAGTTTAGTGAAATGAGTATTGGTGTGGCTCCTCTGAAACTTCTTCTTTTCAAAACTCTCTGGGCTTCTGGAATCTAGCCTTTTCCCCCATAGGTTATGACGTCATTTATTTATTTTTATATAAGGTGTGGTGAACCAACACCCTGCAGTGCTCAGGGACTATTCCTGGCGCTCTGCCCAGGAGTGACCCTTTGGTTCTGGCGGACCATATGTGATTCCAGTGATTGAGCCCTGGATTGGTTGCATTGAAGGCAAGTGCCTTACCTGCTACACTACTCTTCACTCATAGATTAGGATTTTAGCTGTTATTGCTGGTGTTTGTTTGGGACCACACCCCAAAATGATGTTAAAGTAATGCGCAGAGCTCAGGGGCTCCTTCTAGCTCTGCTTGGGAACTCCCAGGGGTTCTCAGGGGCCTATGTGGTGATATTGGGGATTGGGACTGGGCCTTTGGTATGCAAAGCATGCATGTAGCTCTTTTGGCTCTCTGGCCCTTTTTGTCTCCCCCCCCCTTTTTTTTTGTTTTTGTTTTTTGGGTCACATCCGGCGATGCACAGGGTTTACTCCTGGCTCTGCACTCAGGAATTACCCCTGGCGGTGTTCAGGGGACCATATGGGATGCTGGGAATTGAACCCAGGTCAGCTGCATGCCAGGCAAATGCCCTACCTGCTGTGCTATTGCTCCAGCCCCCCTTTTTGTCTTACTCTAAGACCTCCATTCATGGAATGGTGGTTAGCGTGGTGCTGTCCTAGAAGTTTCTTAGAAACAAAGCTTCACTTTGAGTTTTCTTTTTTCTTTTCTGTTTGATAAATTCTACTGCTATGTCTTTGAATTTGATGAGTCTTCTTTTTTGTGGCTGTGGTTGAGGCCACACCCAGCTGTGCTCAGGGTTTGCTCCTGGCTCTTTGCTCAAGGCTCACTACTGTCAGTCCTCTAGGAGCTTTAAGTGGTTTCAGTTTGATACTGAGTATCAAATTGGGATTGGCTGCATACACAACGTGGACCCCACACACAGTACTGTCTCTCTGGCTCTCCACTTGATCTTTTGTGCTTTTGTGCCCCTGTTGAGTTTTTCTATTTATTGTATTTTTCCACTCTGATTTCTGTCTGACTATAATAATTCGCTTTACCGGATAAAATTGCGTGGGTGGTCATGCGAGAGCGCTAGCTATCCTGAGGGAAACTTCAGAGCAACCAGCTACTAGATGGTTCAATTAGTCTTTTGCCCCTATACCCAGGTTGGACGGCCGATTTGCATGTCAGGACCGCTAAGGACCTCCACTAGAATTTCCTCTGGCTTTGCCCTGCCCAGGCATAGTTCACCATCTTTTGGGTCCTAACATGTGTGCTTGTGCTCCACCTCCCCAGCATGGCAGGCTAGTCGGGCCAGTGGTGTGCCCTCGGTGGAATGGAGAGGCCTCGGGATTTTCCAAAATTTTTAAAAAAAATTTATTGTTTTTTTTTTTTCATACATTCTTCTCCTGATACTACTCGTGTGTGTGTGTGTGTGTGTGTGTGTGTGTGTGTGTGTGTGTGTGTGTGTGTCCCCTT